GGGGAGGAAACCGCTATGCAGCGCGTGCCCAGGGTAGTGGAATTATGTTCTGCCAGGGGTATTGATCCTAGTCGTCGGGAGATCTATCCTGCCAACTGCCTTTGAAGGCGGAGTGCAGTCGACATGATGTGCCCTAGCCACCCTCTAGCGGAGCCTATGGTTAGCTCGGCTAGAGGGTAGCTCCATCCGAGGCACATATCTTGCTCAATAAAATTAAACACTCTTCTGAATACCTGCTCACAGTAGGTACCACAACTCGATGACTGTCCTTCAGAGCAGGTTGAATCCGGCACCCAGAGATTCGACGATCCGGAGTCAAGGAATACAACGAACGTCTGCGGTGGAGTTCCGAGAGTGATTTCAGCTAAATCATATGTTGTTTAATTGGAATACACTCCGAAATAATCCTAACACTTCTATGTAGCAAAATCAAATAACAGAAGAAAATACTAAGTTGTTAACTGCCCCACGCAACTATTGGTTAAGTTAAATGGTCACAAGCTACTACCCGCTGGCATGGAAATTACAGTGTGCAGCACAACTAAACTCTAGCCGAAGCACCAAACCGGGTACCGAACCTTATCTAGACCGCCGACGCGAAATCATCGAGGGTTTAAAGGAATTCCGGTACGAGCGTTAAACTAGCTGCTGATGATAGCGTGGAACAGCTCGAATGAATGCAGATTAAATGAAAGTGAGGCAATCCACTGTTATTTCCGCGACGATGGTGCTTCGGCCTGTCTTGAGAGCAAAGTGGACTTCGTAGTAAGTAGTGTGATGCTCAAGTCAGCAAGTGGTGACCCACATGCGGCTCCAGTCCCCTATAACAAAAACGCTGACAATGAGAGGGGTCTACAACTTGACTCCACTGCACACAGTTAGAAATGAGGACGGAGGAAGGAGAGCTTCTGTGCATCTGAAGGCTTGAAGGCAGCGTTTGTGATGGTGACAGCACCGCGTTTCTTCTCGTGCAGGGCCCCTGACGACAAGCCGAGGGGAAGAATTTGACTTTGAAACTTGGGGCGAAGAACCACAGGAGCCCTCAAGGAAACGATGCAGGGACGTCAGCATGATAGACTTAACTGAAATGGAGGCCGTACAGGCGATGCCTCGGAAAGGAGAACTTGGCGCCAAATACTACGGGCTCATTCGGGTCGGTACCAGGGAGCAGTAGAAGAGAAAAGAAGCTCACCCATGTAAGCCATGTCATCATAGTCGATGACAGGAGTGCTGACAGCGTCGGCCCTTGATATTTTAGCCATGTCCCGCGCCGCGCCGCCCCCAGGCTGCCGTGTAACAGGGGGCTCGGCAGGGGGAACGATCGCACGCTGCGTCAGTAGAATATGCGACCCATATGGCTGAACCGATCTTCTAGCCTAGTCCAAGTGTTGTTTTTTGTTTTCATTATTTTGTCAACAAGACCGGCATCGGGACTTCATTCTCTTACGGTCGCATTAGTGAACAGCGATATCAAGTGTCCTTGTTGGGATGTTTTTCGATGCGGTGCGTTTGCTTTGATGCGGTGAGTCGCCGTACAACGACCCACCCATTCGATCAGGGGTGACGAGGGAACAGCTGCACTAAACAGCGCCTTCAGGTTTCGGGATTTCAGGTTTGATTACGATGGGCCGGCTGATCAGCACGGAAGAACACAGATTTGTAAGAGCGTCGAACGGCAGGTTACCAAGCTACTTATCGCCTTTTTGTGACATCAAAAGTTTCTCGACATCCACGACGTCACAAGAGAATAGAAACCATCGGCAAGTGGCATATAGGTGCCAGGATCTGCAAACCTACTGTAGTGTGGCATATTAGGTCATCACAGTTCACTGCCAGCCCAGCACGGGCTGTCGTACTGCTCTTGAGCACAAAAAGGCAGTTCATTCTCTTCCCCTTCCAATACAGCATGCATGAGCAACTTACGGTGGTGTCTAAGCTGTATCGGGAAAAGTCGTGATCAAGAGGTGGGTGAACTTTGGAAGTTGAGACAGTGGCTCGAAGGGGACCCTGATGAAATGATAAGTCATCCCTGATGACCTGTTTTCATGGTTTTCAGTGCCGCGAACGTCGAGATTCTGCAGCGGTCAGTTACAGTTGTGTATAAAGTTTTTCCGTAGGACTCAGCATGGAACAGTTGAGAATGTTTTCACATTCTTTGGTGATTCACAGTCGGAGACATTTCTGAAACCACTCACAGGTATCCAAGCTCTGTGTGAGGGAATTGGTAAACAGTTATGGGCTCGGCAATGGACAGCGTTGTGCGAGTTCATTAGCATGAATAGTTTCGGTTATATGTGATTTCATGTAGTATCTCAATGGTCATTATCCTTCTATTATATTTTCTTTTCAAGTGAGATCTTGTTAGGGTTGATTGAAAGACGGTTGCTTAGTTCGCATTTCGGCACGTTCCTTAAATCAGATTAGCAGAACTAGTTTCTTACATCCTCCTTCTTGTGATGATTGTAAGGGAAAGGAGTCAAAGCTATACAAAGTTGCAAGCAGAGACGGTAAAGCGTAGCTCAAAAGACTCCATCGATTATGATAACTGCCGCATGTGTCGTCTTGCTATTTCGCCTACTCTATCGCTCTTCTTATCTGATCTCTCACCAAAACTACCCATCTATTCTTTGCCTCCCCTTTTAACAAGGGGGGAGCTCAATTGATAACAAGGGGGGAGCTCAATTGAGGCGTTTCGCTTCGTTAGCTCATGGTTAGATTTGCGACTAGATCAGCGTACTCCTGCGTTTCCAACTCCACCGCCTACGAATGGTCCTCGACGGCAATCGTCGAAATCGCGTTACCTTTCGCTTGGAGATAGACACCTCCTCGTTGCGATCTGTGACATTTTCCCCACTTTTGCGACTTATAAGGAGTAGCAGGAGCACTGTCGGAGGCGCATACGGTACCTTCAAATTGTCTGGCTCATCAGGGACGAGTGTGCTCATTTGAACGGTGGTGTCTGAGCGCCTTCGTTCCATGTGAAACCAACGTGGACCTTCCTCGTCTTTCAACCCACACTCCAGCGCTGATGTGACTCATTTGATTTCTTTGGAATCCTTTTTTCTGGGTGCAAGGTGTCACTTGCTTGCGCAATGCACTCAAATTTACTAAAATTAGGGACGCTTACAACGGCAGTTTCTGTACACGATATAGTGTATAAAGTGCAGGGCGTAGTTCGGCTTTTCGTCTTCATACAGACCCTTTTGAAACCTAAACCGATCGCCATCGTGGGGATTGCCTTACAAGCTGAAATTTAATCAGGCTGTGAGCGACCCGGTCGCATGCTTTCTTACACCTTGACGTGCATCGAGGTGCTGGCTCTTGCAGTAAAGCAGCAATACTGGAGTTGTAAAAAATAACTTCGAGGAGCTCGATGAGTAAGTACTAGGTCTTGTTCCAGCCCCACCTGTGACTCCGTGGTAGCTCGGTGTTTCAATCCGATAGTGTGCTCCCATTTATTTTAGCTGCACTTGGCCTGTTGATCTTCGATTATCACAATATTTGCAAATACCTCAGTTGCAAGTGGAAATGTTCTTCGTTTTTCTCCAAAGTCAGTCAGTTACAGCAGTGCTCAAAATCTCTTATTTTTCGCGGTTTTTTTTCATACACTTCTATGAAAGTTTGATTTCTCTGATTCTGGTATGCTATGAGGATCTGGTGGGTATGTCTGCTGTCGAGAACGGGATGGATCATGCCCTTTTTCTCCGCCTGGGAGCAGTCTTCCATATCCCTAGCTAGTTAGAACCAGACTTTCTCATGCAGGTGAAGGCAGAAGTGGCCAATGGTTTGTCCACTCAAACAACTTTTTAGAAGCGATGAGCATTCAAGTGCTTCTAGGGTTTTGAGTGGAAAGCGCAAAAGGACTGCCCATCTATGTTTTTAGTGCCACATGCACAAAAATCCTGGAAACAGCTTCCTTCTGTCTTGCATCATTACAATAAAAAACCGTCATTGGAACCACACCAAAACGGTATCGCACGGATTTCCTTCTTCTCGGCGTGCTCCTCCTAACGGGCACTTCAAAAAGGCAACTCGAAGTGGCAGAATAAAATAGAGACCACAGAAAAACCGTAAACGTCCAGTCGTAAACGAGTTCCTCTCGTACCCACATATCCAGCTTGGCGGTAGGCTCTCACTGTTCATTAGTTCGTGAGTTCTGCTGTTGAAATTCTGTTTAGCAACTAAACACTTCCCTTAATCGTCATGTTTGTCGAGTTCCCCCTTCAACGGCAATTCTCACTGAAAAAAAATACGAAAGCGTTCTCGTCAGGTGTGATTCCGGATGTTTTTCGGACTGAATTTGCCAGAAGGGACGAGCATACTCTTGTCTCATGCGGGGTGGTAGAAGATAAACTGCTCACGTCTCAAGCGAACCATAGCCCAGTGCCAGTAGATAGGGCGTATCAACGTGGGGAAAAAAAGGAAAGGGAACTACTGTACTGAACTGGGCAAATTTTTTTAGTGGTTGTTCTTCTTGTTTCTTGAGAGCTTCATCATTAATAGGCATCGAGCACCTCATGATACATTTTCTTGTGCAATAGGCATAACATGCTTCACATACATACATACACATGACTAGCTTAACCTCAGGTTGTTCGCTAACTTAACCTGAATCCTCAATTGAGGAACAATTAGGAGGCTTTTTCCAACAGGAAATTCCAGTGCCAGTGACAAACACAAAGGCTTCAGTGAGCATCAAGCTGCAGAAAAACGCCGCGGCAACGCGTCTCAAGGAAAACCCTTCAACGAGAAGCTATGCAAACACTACGCTAGCAAATTCCTTTAATCACTTGAGAATTTCGAAGGGGAAGCATCACGTAACCACTGATTACGTATGGGCACTCACTTTAGGAGCACCTGCCAATGATTCGCCGTTTTCGAGACCGCGAAATCTGCAGGTATTTACAAATTTCGCTACATTGGACGCTGAAGTACGAAACTGAAAAAACAGTCCAAGGTTGCAAAAATGAACTCATATTCAGTAAACTTTTTCAATTGATCGGCGAAGAGGCGCATAAACTAGGGAAGTGGTACTTGAACAGGAACCGAACCGAACTAATCGAATAAAAAGGGCCGCCAGGAAAGGGAATTTTTCTCACTAAAGGCTGACGTCGCAGCATAAGAATTGTGTGGGAAGTCTAAGTAGTCGGCTTGATATATGATTCTATAGGAAACCAGAGAAAAAGTCGTCCCTCATATGCACATGATGGTGAATACGGGGGACGTACCAGGTCCGCGAGTAATGAGGATATGCCACATTTACGAATTGAAAATTCGCAATAAGCGAGCTCTGAGCTCAAGTATCAGGACCATGGGCACCTACCTAAGAAGTTCAATGATAACCAGTTTGCATTGAAGGCAAAGCGTCTGACCACAGATAGTGGATAATGTAGCAAAAATACGATCGCAAAATGCTATAACTTATTAATGTAGAAAAAAGCAGAAAAACCGTCCAAACGCCCTACATAGGACCATATGTCGATCCCAGTTTGCATAAATGTACAGTGAAAATAAGCTGTGTTTGTACGAATTTCCACCAGTTGTTGACATAACGATATCAGCACTTTCCCCTCACCACCTCATCCTTACCATTCAGAATGGAGGAGCTCACAGGAGCTGCTAATTAGTAGCTAACAGCACTGGGGGTTGGTATGGGCCTAAGGAGCGATAATAGGCCTACCCAAATTCTTGCAAGTTTTCACTTTGAGGTTATAGCACAGCCTCCACAACCCCCTTTGGGATCATTTTTGAGCACATTCGAGAGCCTTAGCCTCGCTTAAGAACTGGAAGCATCGACGCCTAAGTCGAGAGTAATGAAGAGATCTTTTAGAAATCTGGGGAGGGAAGTAGGGGGGGACGAGAATGAATGAAGTGTGGCGAAACCCAGTGGATTCTCAGCTTCGAGTTCAAATTCTTTCTAAGAGGAAAACGTTCTAGCACCTTGAGGGCCTTCCTAATGGCTGCGTTAGTAAATCGACCTTTTATACTGCTTCGCCTTATGGAATTACCGCACTTTTCCTTGTACGCTCATGACGTGAAGTAGGAGAGTTATTACCCAGCTGAACGGAACCTATCGTCATGAGGATGGTCTACAATCTTATCAGAAAAAGTAATCACGAGAGTGCTGGAATTTTAGGCAAGATGCACAGCCGACAAATGAAGTCGAATTCACGGTCCCCGATCATGTGCTTGCTCATCCATTGGATTGCAAGGTTAAATGCTTACTCTTGTGTCAATGACTGTTGAACAGTACAGTATTTTG